CGCCCTGGCTCCGCCCGCGCCTGATGCCCCAGCTCCGCCCGCACCCAACGCCCTGGCTCCGCCCATCCCAATCACTGACCCTGCTCCAAACCCTCCTGCACTTGATCCCAGGACCCCAGTTCCTGTCCCCGAGGAGGTCCCGGACTGCTTGACCATCGCTCTTCCTTTCTGGACAGAAGGAGAGGAGGAGCTTGAATCAGGGAATAGGACCCCTCGGGGATTTCCCTGATGGACCCCCCCAAAGAGAGAGCTCCTTTACCACCGCCCCAGCGCGGTGGATTACGGTCTGGTTCCCGCCTTTCAGTGTCCTGTAAGGGGAGGGGACACCGATGCAGGGGTCGGGTCCCGCCCACCCTGCCCCCTGGCTCACCCTCCCTGCCCCCTGGCTCGCTCTCCTTGGCTGGTGTTCGGGGGGCGCCTGCGGGTCCTTTTGCTCCTGCTCGGCGGTCGCCTGCGGGTCCCCCTCTGATGCCTCGTCGACAGTCCCTGGTCCTGCCTCCGACGCCTCGTCAGTCGCCTGCGGGTTCCCCGGGCTCGACTCCATGGTAGCCTGTGGGTCCCCCTCCTCCACCTCGTCGGTCAGCTGCACCTTCGCCGGCTGTAGCTGTGCCGTCGCCAGCCGCGGCTCCGCGGCTCCGACTCCTTCCTTGCCTGCATTGGCCTCCTCTCCGACTCCCTCCTTGCCTCTCCTGGTGCCCCCTCCGATTCCCTCCTCATTACCTTCGTCTGTCTCCTTGACCCCTTCATGGTCCCCTCTTGCTTCCTCCTCCCAGTCGCCTGCGGCCCCTCCGGCTGCCGCCCGTCACCCTCTGTGGCCCCCTCGAGCTCCCCTTTGGCCCCTGGCCTTTCATGTTTGACCTCCTGTGTTTCCTCCTCATCCCTCTGTGTCTCCTGTCTCGGCTCCTCGTCCCCCTGTCGTGCCTCCGTTCCCTCCTGGTCCTTTTGTTCCTCAGTTCTCTGTGCCCTCTGTCTCTCCCTTTCTTGTGTGCCTGTCTGCGTTTCCTGTTTTGTGACAGGTTCTGTCTGGCTTTTGCCCTTGTGCCTGTTCTGTGTGTCTGTTCTAATCCCGGTCCCTCATTGATGTTTTTGCTCTTGTTTTTCAGGTCCCGTGTCCCCGGTCTCGTCTCCTCCGTCGCCTCCCATAGGCGCGCCCAGAGTGCGCGCCTTTGTGGGGGGGGTTCTGTCATGACCTGCTCGTACGATCCTTGTGTGTGCCACGCCCCCTCATTTACCTCATGATGAATTCCCGATTGTGATCACCTGTGTCCTGTTATTTCGGCTAGTCTTGTGAATATCAGCCCACGTCTTCCTCTGTTTCCCAGATCGGTCATTGATGTTGTGTGCCATGTTTGCTCGTCTGTCCTCAATAAACCCCGTTTGCCCGTGTTTCCGGCTCCACGCATCTGTTTGCCTGCTCGTCTGCATGGCGGACATTACAACAAGTATTACCAATAATACAAGAATATTTAATGACACGTTATATTTTTTAGACACACAAAAGGCTAAAAATTTTCTTAAACTTCACGAAGTGGTCTTAAAAATATAAAACTACAGGACCCTCAGAAATGCACTCTTCTCAAATTTATTAACTTTAACTGCATCATTTGTAATGCTTGATGGAGTTTTTGTATGTTACACATGAGAAAAGATACTAAAATAGACTGATATTTACCACAAATGGCAAGCGATAAAAGATGGTCTAATTTTGAAATTTATAGGTATGTAGGGGGGTATGATTCTGTTTTGCAAATATCCTTTAATACTGAGAGAATTTGTTTTCGGTCCTGAGTATTTCCCACAATTAGGTCTGGTCCAGCAAATTGCCATTTCTTTTCTTAAGAAAGCACAGATGTTGTAGACATTGAAAAAAATACTGTCATATCAAAACATAGGTTAATGGCATTTTCTTCACACGTTTTAACCTAAATGTAATCTACGTCCATAGTTCAATTGAGAAACAGCAACTACTATGAATTTCGGCAATTTAAGTCCTCAAGGAATGTGAGGATATTTCAACTTATATGCCAATATTGA